ATTAAAACTGTTCAACTCTCCTGGTTTGAGTCAAAGCTTGCATACATACATTCTCCCTGTGGATTATTTAAAAGTCTTTAAAGACAAAAAGCTGCGTCCACAGTGCTACATGATGAGCTGCATTAGCTTTTTTATTTGTTTGCGTTGCCACTTGGAGGCAGCAGAAGCAGGGGGTGAACTGTGCTACCACAGCCACACACAGGACTGTTGCCTTTACACGTGACCTGGAGCGACATTTAAACTTAACAGCCTGCTGCGACCTCGTGCTGCGGGAAAGATCGGACGATAAAATCTGTGTGGGTTCGACTGCATAAGTGTAAACTTTAACATGTGATACTATCAGATCATCTGTGTTTCACATAACATTCATCAGCGCAGCTTTATTGTGTGGAATGCTTTAGGCCTGCGCAAACAGACTTGTTTGTCTAATTACTTTACTCTAACATAAAAGCATGTACTGAAGAAAATGCATTTTTATTTGTACCTTAGAGGAGGGTGGTAAGCATTCTCATTCAGATCGTGGCCTGCGGTGGAAATGGACAGCGTGTTATTAAGTCATCTGCGCTGAAGGAGGAATTCTCTCTTTGTGTTTCCTACGAGGTTGCTTCACAGTTCCTCAGCGTCTTCACCAGTGTCAATCTATCCTTGTATCATTTCCAGATGTTTGAGGTCGGAGCATCTCTCCATCACAGAGCAGGCAGATCATGACCAGGGACCGACCTGCTATTCCCAAACGCCTTTTCTATGACACCAGCTCAGCTCTAACACCCCTCACAGTTTCTGTCTCTGTCTCAAAGTGTACTCTGGTGTACAATTGAGGGATTAAAAAAAAATAAAACAGTATTCCCCATAAAAATGTTGTCCATGTGTCAGAGGAGATGCAGAAAGAAAACAAAACATCTCAGTGTGACATCATGGGGCATTTTAAAAGTCAAAATGAATGAATAGGACCAGCTGCAACATGACCGCGTGAGGCCAGCGGCATAATCAGCGCTGTCATAATGCACAGTGAAAGGAAGTCGTGACTGCAGTCCACGCCAGCAGGAAATCATTGCTTGACCTTGAAGCTTTTTGTGTTGCAAAGGGACAACAGTTGGAAGAGATGTTGGGAATAATCGCTGAATGTGTAGTAAGACAACACAATCAATCAATCCACGCTTTGTTTAATCAGGCAACGATAGAGAAGGAGCTTCTTTGTTTGAACAGCGTGATTTAGATGCAATCTCAAATATTCCCTGCTTTACAATATCAGACCAGGAGGTCAGCGCACAGACATATGCATGTGTTTGATTTGGCTCAAAGAGCATACATTTAAGTCGATTGCTTTGGCCCATTGTCCACAAGAATGTTCCATAAAATGTGAAACTGTGAAGACTGCTGGTATATCTATACCATAAATCCAGAATTCAGGATGACATTTTTAACAAGTAGACAAAATTATTGTCTCAAACTGCCACACCTGTAAAGAGCCCCAGAGCATCGTTAACTTCTAAGAAGTCTTCCTGGACTGAATGAGGAACAAAAGGAAACCCCTGAAGGTTTGATGAAGACACTTTTTGTAACTGAATGAACATTTTCCAGACATTCTCACATTAAGAGCATTGACACTAGTGTTTGGACTTCTATTCTTCTCGTTCTAATTTTGATGTTTAACTTGCTCCCCGGTTAGCCCTAATTCTAACCTAAAACAAACATGCAGTTCACAAAATCCCATCAATATTTGGGACTTGTGAACTTTCTGGAGCTTGCATTGTTGCTGGTAGCTGTATGTTAGGTTATAAGAGGGTTGGTTCTTAAATTCAGGGTCACGGACGAAGCATATTAACACTTTCATATTTCATTTTTCCTCTTGTGCCCATTTTCTTTGATCGTTCATCATGTTCGGAGTCAGTAGATTATCTGGTAGCAGACTTAGAAGTACATTCCAGTCGTTGTTGTCCCCAGCATTGTTTCCTCCAATTTTCCCCCTGGAGGATCTTGAGACAGTCTCAGGTCAGACAAGATTTGAAATCCCTCCAGTGAGGGTCAACCCCAACGACTCTTCTCAGCTTGTTATGTTTGGGAAACCTTTGATTCAGTTTTATTTATATTACTCTAGTTTCAAAGTGCTTTATATTATGGAAGTAAAGACCCTACAATGTTAGCAAAAGAACCATAACAATCAGACAATCTCCTGTGAGCAAGGACATAGTGGTGGGGAGGAATAACCCCCATTAAACTGGAAAAGGCCTCTGGCAGAACCAGAATTGGGCAACCATCTGCTGCGACTGATCTGGAGCCTGAAGAGAAAGATAAGGGAGAAAACAAGCCACAAATTATATCCAAGCACATATCCAAATTATGCAGTTTTGATGACCTTGTATAAGCAACCACTTGGGAATAGTGATAAGGAAGAACTCCCTTTTAACAGGAATAAAACCTCTAGCAGAGCCAAGTTATCCGCCACGATTGGTGCCAGGTGAGTAAGACAGAGACACCCTGTGCAAGATGAATAAGATGAATAATAACTAATAATTAAACAACATATGTTGTGTAAACACAACATATGTGAGCAGTGAGTGAAAAAAGGTGAAGACGACGTGTGTAATGTACAGCACATCTTTTTATATGAGTCCCATCACCTATGATTTAAACACATCTTCAGCTAAAACCATGATAACAGCGGTTAGGTCAAAATTACATACCGCATACTGTCACCGTTCCCTTTCTACACATTTTGAGTTACGATCTCAGCATCGAGTGCAACATGAAATTTCGACCCCATGTGATACGACCCAGAGTATCCCGGTTATATTTTCTGCTGGCTCATAAAATCCTTGAAAAAGCAGGTTTTTGAGCAAATAAGAAAAGAAAGATGGAGAAAAACAAAACAGAAAACCAGACAAAAACCAGACGACATTTGGCAAGACAGGTAAATAATCTGCTCTAAGTCGAGTTCATCATAGCACCGTGAGATGATCAGAACTTATTGACTGTGTTTTCCCATCCAGACTTGTGATAAACTCTGCTGAGAGAAGCACAGAAAAGATTGTTAATCTTGAGAATTTCACTCATGGTTAAATAAAGCAGCAAAGATCTCAGGTTATGTAGTGGTTGGCACTACCTATGTGTTCTACGAGGGAGCTGTACTCTGGCATTTCTTTCAGTTCCTGTTGAATAAACAGAGTTGGTCCTGGCTTAAGTCTGGCCAGTGTTCATATCACCATCTTTGTACCGTAGACCTATTATGCCTCACTCTTGCAGTCCTCCTTGTCACTCTGTGTAGGACAACCTTCAGCTGTTCTGAGCAGTGTTTAAATTAGACCATGAATAACTTTCATGTAACTGTCACGTCTGAGCAAGAACATGTTTGACTTAACATATTTTATGTCATTTTATGAGTTCCAAAACAGTCTAAAGACAAATAAGAGATATTGTTTTCACAAATATCATGCTGAATGTAGATACTTTTGGCTCAGGGCAATCATGAGTGTGGTACATGGATCGTTTTCACAGGTAGGGCCAGATATTATTGCACATGACTGTAGAAAAATATGTTGTGTTTCTCCTGGACATTTTGACCTCACTCCCACTGCTGTGTTTTATTTTCTTGGTAAGTTGATTTAAAATATGCTGTACTTATGTAAATCCTTAATTTTTTCTTGGACTAAGGAATTCTGCTTGTATATTTTAAGGTTTTAACAACTGCCAAGTTTCTACATTTCTTCAAGCTTTCCAAGTTTTTGCAGATCGCATTTTGATATTGCATCGTATGAGTGCTGCAAGAAGTACAGTATTAAATGTCTGTGGGCTGAGTACTTGGTACTGCAAAAGGCTGAAGGCAGAAGATGAAATGAAAAGTGGTACAATGTAAACGTAACTACAAAATCAAAGTTAGCACCAGGTCTTTGTGCAGCCCAGAGAGATCTAAGTGGACTCTCTGCATGTGCTCACCGTGTTGCCCTGGATGATGTGGTGCGGGCTGAAACAGCGGACACAGTAAAGTCTTGAAGGTCTTGAATAACTTGGTATTTATGTATTTTAGCACAATGTTTTAAACTCTCATGTCAGCAGTGATTTGCTGTTGCACTTGGGCGGTTCCTGTTTTTTCAACCTATTCAACAAATTTTATAGCATTCTACGGCACTGTTGGCTCCTGTCAGCATGACTACGCACCAGCTCCATTTTCTAGCTCCATCTTAATTTCCTCAACCCTTGGCCAAGGTGTGGCCACTTCTTTCATAATCTCATTCTTTTGGTTACTATAAAGTTCACTAGGCCCTTGAATAACAAAGTCTGCATAAGAAGAGAGCAGTGGTTTTTAAAAGTCAAAATACTGCCAACCAGGAGGATGCTGGAGGGTTCAGTTTTTGCACTCTGCTTGTCTGTGGTTTCAGTTTGTTTTCATTTGCTCTTTGCTATGATTTAGGCTTAAAAGTACTTGGTGAGGTGTACGTCAGGTTTTGGGTTTAGGCAATGCCAAATAACAACACTATCTCTGTGCTGATTATGGTGATCGCAGTGAGACTGATTGTACTCTTTATAATTTCATTCCCCAGAAAGTAGTCTGTCCACATCGATTTGAATTTAATTAACAGATTATCATTCTTGGTCTTTGTCTTCTCTTCCTTTTCTTTCTACCTTGAGTTCAGAGCATTCTTCGTCCTCTGCCTTTAGTCTATATAGTTTTTATATTTTACAGGGTTCACCATGATACCAGTGCAGTCCGAATGGTTGGTTTTACCATATGTTTAGAAACAAGTGATGAGCAATCACATGGGTCAAATGATCCACCCGATCATAATACATACCTTATTAATGTATCCTGTTTGTAAAGCTTTTAACTAGAAGTAATGCTAATACATGAAGGCTAAATAACAAGTGCTAACATGTTTAATTTGATTGACATTTTCACCGTGAATGACAGTATCAATGTAATCAGATTTCCTTCTAATAACTGGAACGAATCCATAATTAGGTCATAACACCCTGGTTTCCCTCTGTGTTTTTGATCCCTGTAGCTAAATACTACTCCAAACAGACCAATCCAAAGTGCATCTCCTCATCCTGTTCCTCCTCAGAAGTGGAGCCCAACTCCTCTTCCTCCTCGTCCTCCATCCTTCCTGTCAGCCAGATGATTGACAAGGTGAAAGGTTACTGTTCCACACACTCTGACAACTTCTGCAAGAACATCATCATGCCTGACACCTGCACCCACTGCACCAGGTTTTAGATTGCCCTCAGCACTTCTGCTGCCCCCCCCCCGCCATTAGAATATGTTCTAGACCTGCTCACATTGTTCTAGAAACTTCTTAACGTCCTGTTCACAGCTTCACTGAAAGGCTTCTGTTAAAGGTTCATACATGAAGCGCAGCACTGGAACATGAGTCATTATTCTGTACATGCCGCTGAACATTATTGAACCTTTTGTGTTCTGGAAGTACGTCTAACATTTCTGGATTTCAGCATTCAACTGTTCAGTCTGTTGGATATCTTCCTAATGTTCCCGAACTTTGTGAGAGCAAAATTTGATGTTTTGAAACGTATCCAAGTATTCTAAAGTTGTGTGACAGCCTCATTCCAAGAGAAAGGTTGTAGCAAGTACCGGCTGAGTGAGAATTACAGAACATGATTATAAACTCAATGAAGCCTGAGTCAGTGCCCTGAGACTTTTGCACGTTCCAGAAATCTCCAACATTAGACAGTCCCTGTGTTTCGAAAACTCTCAGAGCCTCAACGGTTTGAGAAGCTTTGAATTGTAGAGCTCATCCAAGCAGTGCAGAGCTCTAAAAGCCTTAGTCAGAGAGTGTGTTTTTTAATTCTTCTGATATTCATTCAGATAGCCCCCTAACACTGTACAAGCCCAACACCCACACAAACTGTTTAGAAGCGTTCTGATTCTGTCTCAGCCTCAGAGATGTCCCTGAAAACTTTATTAAATCGTGTGTCATCATGTGAATTGTTTGTTTTGCTGTAGGAGCACATAGTTTTTTGTACAATTAATTCAACAATCTGCAAAAATTATTGATATGTGTTTTCAGTTATGTTAAATTTACAAGGAGCAGGCCGGTTTGTCAGACTGTACTCTAATTTGATTGGATATTTTTCCTCAGTACAGAGTATGCAATAACGTGATTAAATTCCTTTGTACAAAAGTCCCAAAAGACTTTTCAAGAAATATGCTTTTTTTATGAAATATGCTTAAACGGCAGCCTGTGAACTCATCAGAATTAAGTCAGTCAACAAAATTATTATGATTAAGAATGATAAGAGAAGCTACAGGGTGGTCAGTGACGCTGATGTGATTCTACTGTATCATATCAAATTACCAAAATTGGCCGACTTGGCTGCCAGAATGTAAGATGAAACTAGGAGCAAGGGGGAGTGATCAGAGGGGTGAGGAAAGACAAAAAAATGAAAAAAAAGGATGTTATCGAAGAAAAAACTAGACTCTTAGGTTTGGCATCTTTTTAATACTGTGATGTTTATTAAAACTGTCCATTTGTGCACGTGTGTGTGGAGCCATACCCTCTGTAAATATAGATCTATGTATTCTATGTGCCTTATTTTTATTGTGAAAATCTGTCTGGATGGTTGATTTTATTCATGCCTTTGTAAGGTCCTCAAAGGGTCACTGCAACTGTACATACTTTATGCTTTATATACATGCTTTAAGTTGTGATGACCAAAGGGGCAGAAATAGGATGGACACACACAAAAAGAGAATTGAACAGAATATAATCTCCACCGGGAAAGGCCGATTGATCAAGGTGTTTTCAAATACTCATTTAACATATTTACATTTATTAAAAATATTATTATCATGAACAAAACTTGGTATGTCTATTGATGGAATGCTTGAGTTTATCAACACATATTTTGATTTTCAGACTCCATTTTTGAAAATGTTGTGCTCATATATAATTACTGTAATATTTCCCACATGTTTGGTGGTTTATTGGATAAAAGATGTTGAAGCTTTCTTGTGCATGTCAGCCAGAGTTTAGCAATCATAGTGGTAACTTCTTTACTGTTCACATTTGGAGGTTTGTTTTCTTACTCTTGTTCTAATATCTGCTCTTATTCAGAATTTTGTGATAGTTTTTTTAAGGTAATACAACTGCTAGAATGACAATATTTAGCCTAAAGGACTTATGGATAAGTTTACCCAGATCCCAGCAAAAATGCTAAGTCTGCCGATGTTGTGGTTTAGACAATACAACTCAGCATCAGTGTGTCTTTTCATATCAGATATTCAAATTACTACAAGTATTTTGCAGACCTCCTTTTAGAAGGAACATATTTTTAAGAGAAACCTGATGACAGCCAAGTGATTACCCAGCGGTCCTGGAAGTGCAAGAGGAATTCCATCCTAGTCCTTTCATGTGGTGGCAAATATCTAAAGCAGAGGAGAGTTAAATATATCAGCATGAAAAACGAGAGAGAACAGGAGCAGTGACAGAGGATATTTTTGTTCTCGTAATTCAGCTGAACTGATCCATGAATTTAATCATCAGTATCATTTTTTCTTTTTAAGAGAATCAACCGAGTTAGCAAAATAATCTACACTTATTTCTCAAAATGTAAAAAAGTCAATATCAGTTTCATATTAATGTTGTTTCATCACCTTCTACACAGGTAAAGCAGCATTTTTACATATGGTTTAATTTGTAAAGCCATGAAAGTCAGCACTTCCTTCCCTTCCTTAGACTTTAAATCCTGATAAGAATTCCTTTGTATAATAAAGAGATATAAAAAGAAACTCCGTGGCACACATGCAGCCACCATGCAGTGATCAAGTGTGATATTCATTGTTTGACTGTGTTTGTATCATGGACAACATCGTCAGTCTAGGTATGCCACACTGCATTGAAATTTTTAACTGGCTGCAGTTTATACAGTATTTTATTAAATTAAAAATGTTGAAAATGTAATTCCTCATTGCTGTTAGACCAAAACTGTGCTTTCAAATCCGCTGGATAAACTCACTTTCATTTTTAATTACTACCAAATTAAAAATAACTAATTCCCATGTTTTAAGGCCCCTGAGACCTAAACTATCACAGGTGGTCATCCTAACCCTGTTCCTTTATTCCAATTTTCTGGAAGCAGTGTAAATAGCTTTTGATATCAGTTGGAATCATTATTGTCTGGGAAGACAATTTAAGAAGAACAGAAATAAAATATTCCGATTGGCGACTGGGTTGTGGCTGATGAGAGGGTTAACGACTTGCACATGAAATGTTATCCAATTTGCCACCAAACAATCAAACGTAATCTTTTTTCTTTATTTTATCAATCAAATTTAATAGAAACATACACTCTGCACATTAGACCACGTGTTAAATATATATATAAAGTAGTAACATTGTATCAGTATTTAAAGCTGTAAGAGGCTCAGTTAGTAGTTAATTTGTAATGAAATTTGAAAAGTTCACTGTTACATTTAGAAAAATATAACTTGTGTGTGAGTGACATCGTAGTAGTAGACCTTTCTTTGCCCGGCAGCACTTTAACTCCCATTTACACAATTAGCACTGGAGCATTCTTGGTGTTGCATTAATAAAAGACAATCAGTCTAACAGTTTTATGATGGTCTTTTGTCACCACCATAAAATTTCATGAATTCTGTCAAAGTAGGGAAAAAGCACCATTCTGTTCCAATAGAAGCCTTTTTTTGAAAAACAAAACAAAAACAAATATGTGTGCTATTCTGTTCCATTGCTTTGAGCATCTTTTGAGCAGTGTTTATTGTGTTGTATGCTATTTATTTTGTAAATGTCTTCCTGTGTCCGGTTAACCACAAATTAAACTTACTGGAAGGGAAAACCATAGAAGATGAACATGGGGACCTATCTGAGGTCTTTTTTGGTATTCAGACTCATTGGACCTCCACTCATCAGCTGTTGGCTAACTGGACTTCCACTGCCTACATGGAGCCAACAGCATTCAACACTGCAGAATGTATTGTAGTAGTCACACATTGTACCCCTTAACCCCTGTTTCTTTTTTCTTTTGCCCAGAGTGGCAGAAGAATGCACTCTTCAGCACTCAGAAACAATTCCCTTGAGACTGTGAAAGAAGAGCCGAGGCCTTTTTGGCAGCTCCGTGCGGGGGCATAGCTCAGTTATCCTGTCAGTCACTGGACTGGCTTCAGAAATGCCTTAAAATGTTCATATCAAGCACGACTGCCCAAAGAGGACAACACACACACACACGTCAGGTTTTCAAATCTGTGGGGACATCTAATTAACGTAATGCTTTCCTTAGCCCCTTACCCTAACCATAACCCAATTGTAACCCTGGCACTAAAACCACATTTTAAGTCTAAAAAATGCCTTCAAACTTGTGGGGTCCAGGATTTTGGTCCCCACAAGTATAGTAAACTTCCCATTTTTGGTCTCCACAAAGATGTGAATATATGCTCACACACACACGCACACACACACACAAACACACCTGGTATTCCAGGTGTGTGGATTACCAGGTGTGCACACAAACTGAATTTTCCTGACTGGAACAAGGCTGAATGTTTGTGTGGTAACAAAATGAAAAAGTACACACAGAGTGTAAGGAGACTGCTCAATCCAGACAGGCTGAAAACAAAAGTCATGTGACAAAATCAGATGAACCCAAACTCTGCCCAACGCCAAGAAACGGCCAATAAAGAGCCTTAAGGTTAAACTCACTCGCGCTGCATGGCTGAAGAGGCCAGAATTCATTTTATGTTTCTAATCAAGCAGAAATTAATTATTTTAATGAACTGCCGATGCCCACCTTAACTTTTTGAAGCCGTTTGTCGACGATTTCTTTAATCTGTCTGCTCTTGTGGAGAATTCTTGTTCCCTAACGGCTCTCTGGCAGCTCAGCATGCAGTAGCATTATAGTCGCTGTTCAATCAGATATCCAAACTCAGTAAACGTTACGAGTCCCGTTTCGTTTCCTCTGGGCTGGCTCGTCCACTCACAGGTCAAGTCCACCCACATCTCTATTTTCCTCTAACATGACGTGTGTACAGTTGCATTTAATGTAAATACTTCATGTCACCTGCACTATGTTTAGTTGACGGATATTGTATCACATGCAGATGTTTCACAGAGGATTGTAACTCATCTTGGCTTTTGCTGTGTTTTAGCGTTTGTACTATTTTTTCTATGATTCTGTGAACGCTTGTCCTCCCTTCACGGCTGCGTTATTGCCTGGTTTTTCTGTGAGGTTATTTTGTGAAAGCACGCTTTAGTTTCAGCATTAAAGGGAATAAAGGTTTGACATGATTACAGAGCCGGAGTCAAACTTTTGTGTTGCTTCTTTATTTTTTTTTGTGACATATGACTTTGAGTGTGATCCATTTCAGTTAAGAACACAGAGGAAGTTCCCTGCTATAGTATAGTGAAAAGATTTCTATCAAGCCAAATCATGAATTGTTGTTTCTTTCATAATCAAATGATGGTGAAAATAAAGAAGGAAAGAGGCTCTGCTGCAACAGCGCAGATAAGAGCCAACAAGGTCTGATTTAAAAAGAGAAGGAAGCAAAAAAAAGAGGACAAACACTACCTGATCAGCCGATGGCATGGATTACCAAGTGATGGCATTCCGCAAGGATTAAAGGACATCAGTTTTACATTCACCCGTAAAAATCACTTTCAGTGCCATCATTTGTGCAGAAACAAGGTCTGAGGCAGAAGAAAGAAACTCAAGTAAGTAAACATCTGGAAGTCCCTCAGAGTTGCTGCTGTGCCCTAGAAACGAGCCAACCGAGGCAGTTCAAGCTTCTAATAAGGATGCCTCCTGGGTGCCCCCTGGAACCCAAGGGAGATTTCTTAGGCTGCCTTGGAGTTGTTAACTCACCTCATTCGAGCACATCTTGAGATCTCCTGCAACGATCGGGAAGATGCTGCTGGGAAGCGCGTTTGAAGTAGCTCTCTTAGTACGGTGCCACCATGACCAGACTTGGATGAGAAAGTGGATGGACAGACAGGTGTCTATATTTCAGTACACGAGGCCCGTGGGTTTTCCCATCCACTTCTACTTCTACTCAGCCTTATACAAGTTTTATACAATTTTAAGGTGCAAAAATTGAACATATATAATGAATGCTGTCCATATTTTTTGAAAAATGGTCCATCAACCTACTTTCAGGTCTTTTTTTTATTGTTCAGCAGGAATAACTAAAAGACTATGAAAAGATAAGAGTCTGAAATTTTCTCTGACCTTTCATGCCATCAAACTGAATCAGGATTTGTAATTTGGCACAGATACACCAGAAAATGTCCAAGTATTGGCTGGTTAAGTTAAGATAAAAGGTCACACACTAGTAAAGTCTCAAATTTTATTGAATTAATTAAAAAAAATGTCTGAGGACTGTTCCACATCACTAAAGCATGCTATAAGGTTACTTGGTAGATATCTGAGTTCATCATCTTAGCCACAAGTCAAATGGGAGAAAACACAAGACGTCCTAGGTCATTTCTCATAGTGTGCATGGAGATGAGGTGGTTAACACATTCTTACACAAACAGTCTAAACAGTGTTCACTCAGAATTCACTGGTTTCGCTCTCTTGACTCCTGAAATTGATTTTAATGCCACAGCGTCTGGATAAAGTATGTGGTTTGGAAGCTGCTCTGAGTAGATGCTTTTCTGAGGTTAGAGAGGTTCCTGCTGCTGCACGGTGGAGGAGATATCCTGAGGTCCTGGACTGGCGCACAGCCCTGTAAGGGAAAAAAGACCAACTCAAGTGCACATTAGTTCAGTGGCCACACTTTACTCTGAAATCTAATCTGAAATCTGAAATGTATAGAATTTAGAGGTGAAACTGACCATATGGAGACAGAAAGTAAGTAAATATGAAGTATATAGTGTACGTGCTCTTATCTTTGTGGATCTGGCAGCTGTAGCGATTATATTTTCAGTCTGCCTGGCTGATCTGGATGTTCTGATAGACTGAGCTTCATGATTTGCAGCTACAAGGTATGAGCATGCATATTTCTATAAACCGTATATATAGTGGTAGATCTAAACAAATATGGACCATACGGTATGTAATATAACAAACATACAGTACTGCGCTATGATCAGGGCTGCACTTTTTCTCCAAGCAGCAGATCACTGAATCACTTTCCTTTATGATAAAGCATGTAGTTAGGGCTGGATCAAGTGACCCTGAATCCTCCCTTAGTTATGCTGCAATAGGTGTAGGCTGCTGGGGGATTCCCATGATGCACTGGGCGTTTCTTTTCACTCACTATGTGTTAATAGACCTCTCTGCACTGAATCATACTTGTTATTAATCTCTGGCTCTCTTCCACAGCATGTCTTTTATCCTGTCTTCCTTTTCTCACGGCAACCCTCATCACCCCTCCCTGAGCCTGGTTCTGCTGGAGGTTTCTTCCTGTTAAAAGGGAGTTTTTCCTTCCCACTGTCACCAAATTGCTTGATCATCTGGGATCGTATGATTGTTGTGTTTTTCTCTGTATTTATTATTGTAGAGCCTACCTTACAATATAAAGCACATTGAGGTGACTGTTGTGGTGATTTGGAGCTGTATAAATAAAACTGAATTGAACTTAATTGAACTGAAGGCCGAATAGTCAGTTTTGTTGCCCAAGTGGACATGAATACCATGTTGAAATGCATCATAACTTATATATGAGTGTTTATGTAGCCCTGCACCGTACTGAAAAATGTCTGTGTTGGAATAATGACCATGAAGAAAGGGAAGCTGCATGCTTTGTATTCCATACAGAGCAGCTTTCCAGGATTCACAGTTAAAAATAAGCTTTTTTTAATGGCACGCTTGTGCAGTGCCTCAGTGCACAGCTGAGGCGATCAGGTGTGTGAAGGTGTTCAGAGCAGTTTGAGCAGCTGGCTCACAGACTGACTTACACTGACTGCTCCTTACTTTTGCACTGAATAGAATAAATGTATTAGACCATCTGTTATGAAAACAGGAAAACACAAATATTTTCGAAATCTGTTGTGAACTTCAAAAGTAAAAGTAACCCTTTTGAGCCTGTAAACTGGAGTTCTCTGAAAAGCAATGAAGCATAACATTCATCCACCAAGAATCATTTCTGTTCAGGAATTCAAATAAATGAAGGAACTTACTGGATAAATATTCATATCAAGCATTTATTTTTCTTTAATTTACAAATATTATTATTATTTCTTTTTTAGCTGATAAGATGCATTATGAGGAGACTAGAACAGTCCTTTTACTGTGATTATGCATGGCAGCTGCTTTAGTGTAAAAATAAGGTTCACAAACAAAGGAAGGCTTATTTTATTTATTTATTTTTTGCTAAACCAGCCTCTCTGTCTCTGTGTATTTATTTCATTCAGCCTGACAGACCTGACTGCTGCATTGTTGCAGGGGTTACATCAGACTGCGGTCTGGCAACACAACTGCTCTGAATTTTCCTCATTTATCATCTCATCAAAACAGAAAATGAACAGAAACCAATTAATGTGACTGAATAACCCTTCATACCACTACACTGCTCCTGAAAGTTTGCTCATACACACGTGAAGACCAAACTAATGAAAGCCAAAGAGGCAGATAGAAGACACGGCTGGAAGGCTGAGCACAGCCGCAACATGAAAACCACTGACAAAGGAAGTGAAATGATCGGCTGGGAACTCTGTGGTCCTGGCTCACCAGGAAATCACCAGAACACCACCAGAGGCCTGCGCTATGAAACAAGCTGAACACAACCCAATATCTCCTTATCGTGTGTTATGTGAGTGATAAGGGACCGAGCCAAAACCTGCTTTAAATTCCAGGCCTCAGATGAACAGGTATAACTTGCACAAACTAACCAGACAGTCCCGTTAAACAGGGTGCTGATGCGTCGACAGTAAACACAAGCAGGTAACCTGTAGGATTACAGAAACCTCAGAGAACTTTAGCAAGAGAAAGATCACCAACAGAGCTAACACCATTTTTAAAAAGTGAGGCAGCATAGTTTTATGATTTATCCTGTAGTTTTTTCATCTTCCATTCAGTTATGAAATATGCAGGATTTGGAGGAGAGGACGGGGAGCTTTAGTTGTACTTTGACTGATCACATTCAAGCAGATCTTCACTGGTTTACTCAACAAGTAAACAGTTTATTTGCCGAAATTAAATTTCAGAAACATCTGCAATGCTCTAATTTCAGGTTAGCTTTTAAAATGTAAAATCTATGGCAGTAAATGATGATGAATGGAAGGCCCTCAGAGGGCATGTCAGCAGTGGGTTTTCCAGACCGAGCACTGTCTGGACCGAGCTAAAATTCAAACTGATGTTTTCTGGCTGGAACAAAAAAGATTTTTTTTTGGGCACCTTGTGGGATCTTTACTGGTTTCAAGTGTCAATTGTTGTAATGAGACGCAGAAGCAGTTCAGGATTTGCAGCCCTCTGCAGTTTTCTGGATCACAATTCACGACTCACTTTTTTCGTTTGGAGGTGAATTTCCCAGATAAGCAGAGTATGATGCATCGCTGTTTACTGCCCATCTCTTGACTGCTCTCCCTCCGCTCCTCTAGTTTCAACATCTCCTTTGACATTTCCTTTTCCTGCTCGTGAAGTGATGAGCGCTCATGATAAATATCTGGAATATGAACATACACCCTGTTTTCCTGTTGCACTGTGAAACGTGAACAGACCATGAATATTAATCAAATTCTTTTTCACTTTGCCAAGGGAAAAGGAGAACTTCCCTTCAGTAAGACTCAGCAGCAAATGTAAATCTTCAGTGCCTTGCTCAAGGACATGTGTGCAGGCTATTAGTAAAGGAGAAAAAAGAACAGTTAGCCTCAAATAAATCTTAAATATAGCAAATGGTGCTGATTCCACAGCGTTAACAATCCTCTGTTTGTCAGTTCACTTCTGTTTGCATTAAAAAAAACTGATTCTCTGTTTTTATAAACATGAAGCAATAATTTTGTGCAAAATGCAACGGAAATATATAATATTAACAGTTTTTATCAAGGAAAATATTGTTGGCATATACAGAATTTACAACAGTCAAGTCCATTTTATTTGTTTTTCCTGAATCATGTGTGAAAAATCATGTCTGATTTTAACGATCATGATGTGCAGTATTTGTTTACAAGCAGATATTTCTCGAGTTTTTTTCAATGTTTTAATGAAAGCATTACATAATGTGGATGATGGAATCCAAATCTACAGTTACACTTTCCTATTAAACATTCTGGTCACTCTGAACTTCTGATATAAATTTATTGATGCATTTTTTTAATACAAGCCATCATGAGGACGTGTGCAGAAATGTTTAAA